GGGGAGAAAGCTGTCCTCAGAAGTATTTCCTATGGCATCCTACAGACCCTAAACCCTCTCTCTCCTATTGATGTTGCAAATAAATACCCTAAAAAGACCCTAAGACTCGAGCCGTTCTGTCCGTGAGTGTCGGCGTGCTGTTGCTGATCAAAGGGGACCGGTAGCTGGAACCAACAGGTAGGAGAACCTATTTCAAACTCAGCGGCTCCTTCGGGGGTGAGCGCTACATATATATATATATATATTTGAGATGTTTTGCTGGATAAAAGGAAATTACATTTCTACCTACAGCTGTGCCACAAAGCACAGACCTGACTGACAGGGCTTATATTCCTCTGCTGTACTTAAATGTATTTTCCTGTCCTCAGCTTGTGACTAGACAATGAAAGGAGCTGCAGCAGACTGAGGAGCTCATCTCTCTGTCGCTCTGCCCTCTCCTCTTATCAGCATGATTGTTGCACTGCTACTTGGGTCTTTGTGCTGCTTTTACCTCTCACTGTCTGAATTCTGCTGTACAAGGCTGCAAGATGCTGAGTTAAACAAAGACATTTAAGCTGCTTGAATTTAAAAAGAAAAATTATGGATGTATTAATGAATACAAAGCTGCATTAATATGCTAGAATTCAGCTTTAGATACAACCAACCAAACAAATCTGCTGAAGTCAGACAATCAGACAAGTACATTATGGTTTTTTTGTCTGCTATGGGCTACTGAAATTTAAAACATTCTTAACAGTGACTGATATTTTATTGTTTTATTATGAAATAATAATAAAAAAATAATTTACACAAATCAAAAAAGAATGATGGTTGATACTTATTATTATTGTTATTATTTAAAAATGTATTTATTTTATTTAATTAATGTTTGTTTTAAGTCAACATTCTAACGGCTGAATCTGTAAAAAAAAATTCTGTAATTATAGGCGCATTGTAAAAGTTTTGGACTCATTTTCTCCATGCCATTCTCTAACAGATGGAGGGATAGTTTTTTCTCTGGTCTCCCAGGAATTAGGCACTTAGCTCCGCTAATGAGATGAGTGAATAGAGGGTCTTTTGAGATGATTTTATAATCATTATTGAGTTTTATATATCTCAAGGCATCCCTTTAAACTCTTATATTTAATCCACTCTTCCTTACATTTAAATTGGTCTTTCACTGCTCATTTCAAATGTTATATTAAGTGACATTAATGTTACGCTTTTTGTCATTTACCCTGTTACATTAATCTTGCTCCTTTAAGTTGTAAAATAATGCAAAAGCGATTATAGCCTAACTAAGGGATGGGCAAAAAATTATCTGGCAGTGCCCCCCTAAATGCTAGGTAGAGTAATAAGATGTAATTCGTACCTTATTTCTTGCTCTGGCAGACTCCTGTGCAACCACTCCCCAGAAGCCTCCACTTTAAGATGCTCCAGCCTATGGTATTACATCTTGTTACTCTACCCCTACACCTAATGTGCATTTAACGCTTGCAGGATGGGTAGGATCACTGCAGATATATATATTTTTTTCTTGCGCTTGGAGTTGTTTTTTTCAAAACACATGTTATAACGTGCTGCAAATATATA